CCTCCTCCAACCGATCCTGCGTGAACGTAAAACTCTGGTACGACCACTCTGGCCGGACCGCATCATACAACTTATACTCCACCTCCGTGACCACCCCAAAGTTATGGCCCGCGCCCCGCAACGCCCAAAACAAATCGCTGTTTTCCGTGTTGGACGTCTTCACCGCCGTGCCGTTCGCCAACACCACCCGCGCCGACAAGATCTGATCAGCGCCCAATCCATACTGGCCCTGCAACCAACCGTGTCCGCCGCCCAGGGCAGGCCCCAGCAGACTGACGCATCGACAGGATCCGGTGGTTGTCTGTTTACCTCGAGCCCAAAGCGCGGGGATGACGTCGTTACCGCGTAGTCCGCCGCCGAGAGTGGCGGAGTGTCCGTCGGCAGCGAACTCCATCTTGGTCAGGTTGCGCGTCCAGATGGCCATGCCGCCCTGCAGCTGCGACAGACCTTGCCAGGTGCCGTGGGTGCCGGTTGTAGCGAGGAAAGGGATGGAGTGGGTGTTGGCGTATTGGATGGTCAGAGAGACGTCGCGCTCGGAGGCCGGGATGACGATGACGCCGTAGGAGGGGGAGTTGGTGTGCGTGTTGAGGGACCAGCGGTGGGTGTACTGGGTGAAGGAAGGGGAGGAGGGGAGGAGGACGAGGGCGGAAGGGGAGAGGAGGGTGGCCAAGTCCTGTTGAATGGTTGGTGGGAGGGGGACGACAGTGGAAAGGGAGGAGCTGTTGTAGTCGCGATGTTCGAAAGAAGAAGGGGAAGAGGGGGTGTGACGGATGGCGATGGGGAGGGGACCGTTTGCAACTGGGGAGGCGGCTGTGAGGCCGGCTAAGGCCAGGAGACCGCCCCAGATGAGGGAGCGGGTGCAGGAGAGCATGGTTATGAGTTGATCTGTTGATATGATACTTGAGTGAGTTCAAGGTTCGGATGGGCTGCTTAAAGGTGTCGAAGAGAAGTAGGTCGTCTGGAGGGACTGGAACTTAAGAAGTGCTGCTGACTTCTCGATGCTCTTAAGCTCTTGAGATGTCCTGTGTTTGATGCTTCCAACCTCAACAGATGCATTTCCACAGGTCCATACTTATACCATCGCCGGTGATCAGTGTTCGGGCCTCCGGAAACAAGGACGGAGGTTGCCTGGAGGCAGCAAACCCAATCTCAGCCTTGTAAGTGTTGACGCTGTGCCGAGAGGCCGACATATTGGAACTTTTGTTGTCACGGAACGCACTGAAAGGCACGGAAAGGCGAAGTTGACAAGGCGCAGGAACCGTACTCCGTGGGACAAGAATTTCCATCTTGACATAGATATGTTCAGGGATTCCCAACTCGCTCCCTCCGGACGTCTGTGTCATGATGACATTGTTGTAGAGAAAGACTGTGTCCTAGCGACGTGGAGTAATCGTATTCATGGATTGGACCTTTGGGTCACTGGGAGTCTCATACTGGGAGACGTACACCAAATGAACCGTTGACAGGGTGCAGGTACCCTGCTCTGTAGGACAACGATCCCATGCTACACAGTCACCTGGTTCTCCCACTGCGTTGATACGTTCCAGCGTGCCGGGTAAACCGCAGCTGGTCTGTGGTCGCTTATTCCAGGAGCCTAGCCGCGCCTTGACACAAGGCCATCGCAGGTGGTGATGGGCTTCCCTCAACCATAACTTACTGTGCCGCATAGGTGCGACCATGAATCTTGAGCAACGAAAATCGCCGACGGAAGATATAGTGGTTCGATGGAAGAGTGCAATGGAACGAGACCTTTTCGCCTTGCCCTATGTGGGCAAAAGTTCGGGGCGTTTCCAGTGGAACAGCTTGGCGGGCCCGAGGAATTGGGAGGTGTTTTGTGCAGGATGGCTGCATGAACTACTTGGAGGGGTGTGAGAAGGATTCAATTGTGGACGCCCTGATTTTGGATCAATTCTGTTCAAGGGCGGGCTTTGTGGTAGTTCATGGCTCTTGGGATTGTCTTCTGCAGTGGCCTCTCCAAGACGGCCAGGACACTCGACCATAAGTCATCCAAGACAAAATTTACAGCAAGCAGAACATGGTGAATAAAGGTAGCATCTGGCCCAAATTCTGGAAACACTTCTCACCTCTAGAGCGCTGTCGATTTCCTTGGGGGCTAATGGCCCGGATTGCAGGCTCAGGCACTCCGGATTGCCCGGGTGGCCTCGACGGTTCGGCGGATTTCTTGGCAGCCAAACGACAACATGACCGTCACTAGCTGTGCCACGCTTGAGGCTTTATCGATGACGAGTTCTTGCTGTTCGAGGGAAAGCCATCGAGGCCATGTTGGGGGCTGGCTGGACTCGCCTGATGGTGAGCTGAAGGGTGTTGAACTGCTGCTGACAATAGACCAAGCCTCAGCTGAAAGAAGCTAGCCTATCGAAGAAGGCACAGTACGGTCCTTTTTTTTTTCGGTCAACCCCGGCCCTATCCTCACCAATGGTATCACCAATGGTGTAGTGTTCACGCCGCGAAGGACTTTTGAGAGTCACCAATCCCCTGCCAAGACGACGCACACCTCGCTTGTGTCGGTTCCTCTTTGCCGCAACTGTGCCCCTGCTGTACATGTGCCACGTAATGCGAGATTTCGGAATCAAGACTCGCGATGATGCCATTGGGTGAATAGACGCGAGGGAAAGCGAATGGGAGACGAATTGCTTGGATGGTTTGGTTGGTTGCCTAGCAGCGCAGACGGTCATGTCCGGGATTGGCGATGCAGAAGACAGCGACTGAAGTTCGTTGTTGGGGGTGGAAACTGGAATGGCGACAGCAGATTATGAGCCTGCTTAATTGATCGTGTAGTAGAACCAAATGACCAAACGTGGACAAAGATGATGGGGAAAAGAGGCATTTGGAAATACTGGGCGCCAATCCGTACGTAGACAACATTCACTCGTTGAGTTCTATGGTAGAGGAGACAAGGCGAACAAAAGCAACGACGACCATAAAAATAACTCACGTGAATTGGGAGAATTGATTTATTAGTAGAAGATGAAGAAGAAATTTCCGCAGGGCAGGCAGATGGAAGTGAAAATGATGGTGGGCGACGACTGCCACAGTTGGTGCAATGACCGCTCTTGCTGTCTGAAATCAGCGCTGCAGACACTCACCTTTATGTCCTCCCTCCGAGCCAGTTTCGCCGCAAAGAGACCGGCATATAATGGAGAGATTGTTCAATTTCATTTTTCAGTCCAATAGAAACAATGCGACACCACAATGCAGGCGACAAAGCAATCACGGTGCATCGCCACCATAACCATGACCATGCTCTTCTCCGCAGCTCAGCATTACAGTTTTGCTGCTTATAGGTACAGAATTAAGTTCTTGAAAACATCCAGTAACAAGGGCCGCTGGTCTAGTGGTATGATTCTCGCTTAGGGTTCAATCCTGAGCATTCTTGCGAGAGGTCCCGGGTTCAATCCCCGGGTGGCCCCATTCTTTTTCAGCTTTTGACTTTTTTTGTCAACAATTCCAAGATGTCAGTCAGTTTTTCATGTTCAACAAGCCCGCATCCGATTTTATTTTTTTCTCTGTGAGAAAAAGAGCAGCGAAAAAAACAAATTAAAATGATGCAAAGAACATCTCTTTGCTGTACAACTCGGACTCACGACATCCACCATTGCATCAGTTGAGTCCTACCTCTACGAAAGCGAATGCGATGGATCTGAATAAGGGAGCCATGCAGAAAATATGTCTCGAGACCTTTTCATATGCAGATTCTCTGCACATGGGCTTGAGATGGATGCTCACATTGAATGTGCAGAAACAAAAATTCAATATGTCGACATCCAGTCGTGCAGTACTCGCCGCACTGCCGCCGGGCTGTACCGTTCGCAACATCGGTGACTTGATGTTAGACTGACTTCAGTCTATACATTAGGTACACTGCGCGTAAAAGAAAGCCGAGGCTTGAAATAAGGTAGGTAGTCTCCTCTCCCACTTTTCCGGCGTCGATAGCAACAGGAACCGACCTCTACCGAATGATGGCAAGCAAGGTTATTCCCAGCTGTTCAGCTGGTGGATAAAAAGGCAGATCCGTTCCATTCCCGCTCGGAACCTGGACCTTGCAACGAACTACCCTACACTAACAACAAGCCACGAGAAACACGCTTGGCGGAATGCTTCCAGGTGTACAGTTTACACTACAGGAAGGGACTGAATTGGCTCGCTCGGAGGAGAGGAACATATGCACACTACACCGGACCGAACCGGTGCTTCGGAGCCCGTCTGTGTCCCGAAGCCCGCACTGCGGAGAGCCCGCAAGGCTCGTTACGGACAAATGTAGGTAGGTAGTTTTCGCGCTGTGCACAATGTGGTTGCTGCATGTTTGCGAACAAATTCTGTAGAGGTATTTTGTGCCTACCTCGCAAGTTCGTCTATTATGGAATCCGAGATGGACAAGAGAGCATCAGCGATCTTTTTTGTTCCTGATTAACATGACACTACCTCTAGTATCAGGTTTCGGACGCCTTCAAACACACGGTGCGGAATAATGACCGGGATCGGCCCCAAAAGCGACCCTTGCTCGACACCGATCACATCCATAAACAATTGGTTGAACAAGCCCATTTGCCATACACACAAGAAACCCGTTGATCGACATCAAGGATTTCCAGCAAGTGATCAGAATCCGGGACCGAAAGGAAGGTGATGATAAGATGAGGAGTAAAAGAAAGACAAAAGATGGAGAACTCCCGCCATGAACGAAAGCGGAGCAGGTCCACAACGGCTGCAGTGCAAAGAAACCGCAGAGCAAGGACAAGGGCTCTTGGATATCGGCTTGACACGTCCACTCCAGAGTTCAGTCCAGTCTGCCAAGTCAATGGTTTGCTTGATGGGGTATTCTTCAGCTTTCGGCCTCCAGAACAGATAGGAGCCCCCCTTTTCGCTGGCCGAGTCGCGATCTGAGAATCGTCAAGGCAAGGAGACGGTCAGTGCAAGTCACCGTGTTTGACGGACCTTTCATCAGCGGTCGATTCTTCCTTCGTCTCGTGAGCATCAACATGGCTCGCCTTACAAGCCTGTTGACGGCTGTTGCCGCCGCGGTTGTCGGTACTGCACAAGCAATCCTTCCCACGGATTGGACACCCATCTGCAAAGAGATCGAGTCCAAGATCTCGAATACCAGCGATGTCATCTATCCGCGTAAGTGGTCTCACTCCCCTCGAATCCAGTGTCTCACACCGTGAACGGAATACTCACATCCAATTCCATGTACAGTCCAGGCCGTCTCCTTCACTTTGGCTATTGCCCACTGGTTCTGGTCGTCCGACGAACAGCCATCGTGTGTCTTTGCACCTGGGTCTGCGGAGGATGTGTCGGTTGCGCTGCAGATTATTGGCGCGACCAAGACCCCCTTTGCCGTTCAGTCTGGTGGTCACTCTTCAAACCCAGGTTTCTCCAGCACTAAGGGTGTACATATCTCGCTCAAGAGACTGAACCAAGTGAAGCTGTCTGCGGACAAGAGTGTCGCCGAGATTGGCTTCGGTAACGTGAGTAGATGCGCATGGTGATACTGAGCCAAGGCCAGTCATTAACAGTGTTCCAGATCTGGACCGACGTGTACAAGGTCCTGGACGGCACCGGCAGGAATGTTGTTGGAGGAAGAGTGCCCGGCCCGGGCGTCGGTGGCCTCACCCTCGGTGGTGGGTACTCCTGGAAGACGAACCAGTATGGTATGACCTGTGACACGGTCAAGAGCTATGAGCTTGTCCTTCCCGTGAGTTCAATACCATGGTTGATCCCTAGGTAGTGTGACGAATGTCAGTTAACACACCCTGCCCAAACAGAACGGAACCATCACCAGAGTGTCCAAGACCGAGAACCCCGACCTCTACTTTGCCCTCAAGGGCGGTCTCAACCGCTTTGGCATCGTCACCTCGGCAGAGTTTTACACCCATGAGCAGCCTGAGAAGGTGTACGGCGGTCTCGGCATCTATCCCACCACTGCTGTCGACCAGATTCTCAATGCCACTTCTCAGTTCTCGTACCTGAACAAGGATCCCCGGACCCAGATCATCACCACCCTTGACGGCGGTCCTCTGGGTACCACTGCCGAGGTCCTGTTCTTCCACGATGGGCCTGATAAGCCGGCCTCGTTTGAGCTGTTTGACAATATCACGCCGCTCGTCAAGACCGTCCAATCTCAAAGCTTTGTTAGCTTTGTGCAGAGCATTCCTGCGCAGGTTCCCGAGTTGACCAACATCCGCGGCGCTTTCATCACCGTTGCGACTTCCGAGCTCTCGCAGACTTTCCTGGAAGCCGTCAGGCAGGAGACTGATGTGAGTAGTTGTATGTCTAAATCAAAACCAAAACAAAAGACGACTAACCTTGACGATACAACAACAGGACATGGGCAAGATCATGAGTCTCCACGGCGGCATCACCGTCAGCTACGACCTTGAGCCCTTTACCAAGTACGGCGAGCACGCCACCGAGAGTGCTTTTCCGCACACCGAGTCTCCCCTCCCGGTAAGTCACCTATACGTACCAGTATTCTCTCCCCTGTGTCGGATCCAAGCTAACCTGCCTTGTCCCAGCTCTTCATCTACTTTGCCTGGTCCCTTCCCGAGAACGACGACTTCTGGTACGCCCGCATGAAACAGACTGTTGAGGCGCTCAAGAAGGTGGCTATCGACGACGGCATCTACAGTGATGCCTTTACCTATTACCCCAACTATTCGCTCTTTGACGCCACTGCGGAGCAACTGTACGGTAACGAGAACGCGGCGCGGTTGGCGAGGATCAGGGACCAGGTTGATCCGGATCGGATCATGGAGCTGGCTGGTGGATTCACGATTTGATGAGAGGTGGCAATACGGGTTGTGGTATTCCTGCGTCGAGCTGATTTGTTTGCCTTTGATCAGTAGTAGCCGTAGGTAGGTAGGTACCTACAGGGGGATGCCTACAGTACTTTCAGACGGTTTGACGGCCCCGGGGATTCAGCGAGGGGTTCCGTCGATGGGCAGTGCCGGCGAATTGGACTCAGTGGACCGACCAAAGGAAGATATTCGATCCGTTACACAAAGAAGGGGGCCGAGGTTGATGTGCGGGCCGTTGCCAGGAAAGGAAAGACTGGAGGTACCTAAATTGCGCAGTACTGTCTGTGGTGGGGAAGCGAAACCAGTGGAGCTGAGAATTACAGTCCAGTACTGGTTTGTTTGTTGGTTCTAGACCTCGTGTCAACTTTCTTATACATTTTCATAGCTAACTAATGCGTAATCTTACCTCGGATACGCTATTTCTGACATTCAAAATGCTATATCAAGTCCTACTAATGCCTTTATACATTCGTACTAGCCATTTTAATTTCTTCTTACAAGGTTTGGGACTACTCGGGATAAATTTCGTCTACGTAGTATACATAGTACGGTACGGTACCTAGCGTACCGAGTTAACAAACAAACTAGTACTGGACTGTACGATTTATGGCAGCTACGTTCATTCTACTATAGAAAGAGCGTCACCGATCAATGCCCAAGAACAAACAAAACGCATGACAAAAAAGGACAGGCGCAATCAATCCAAACAGCTGCTGCATCAAGCCATCTTTTGCCTTTCTCTGTCACCACAACTTGAAATTCCAACAAGGCATAAACCCCGCCTTCACACTAAACAAAACCGGCAGGCCTAGTGTACAGATGGGTCCAGCTCCCCAGTATTCTCAATCTCCTCCTCATGAAGGGCGTCCCCTTCACCATCGTCTTCTCCACTGACAGAAGCGTAGTCGTCGGCATCAGACGAAAACATACCCTCTAGGTCTGACGGGCAGACATCCGTGTCCTGGAGTCTATCCCGAGCCTCATGTGTGCCGTAGGAGGCACTGACAATGACAGCAATGGTTTGTTGCCATGGATACTCCATGGAGTTCCAACTCTCGTGGTACAGATTTATGCGCACATGGGTCCCGGTGAGCGCAAGAGGTGTGGAGCCAGTCTGGGAAAGAGGGACAGAGTGAAGCAGTCCGAGTCAGCTACATGTTCTCAAGGCGGGAAGGAGGCAGCTGCCGACATTGGGTAGGTAAGATAAGTAGGTTGACTTACAAGGTTGCGGATTGGCCCGAAATCCTCGTTGAAGGCTTCGGTCGGGTAATCCATCGCTCCCCATGTTTCGTCACTGGGATCCCGGCTTCCCCCAAACGCCCAATTGGCGACTTGGTAGTGATCAGCCTTGACCTCGACATTTACCGCAGAGTTGCCCTTGACACAAGATGGCTAGTGTTGTGAGTGGTCCATGATTAGCTGACTGATCTCGATAAAGGTGATACGTTGGTACCTAGTTGCAAAAATAAGACTGCCGGCTGCTGGAGGTACCTGATACTGACCTTCCACACCAATCCGTTACACAAAGCAACACGGATTTCCTCGCGCAGCCTGTCTGCTTTTTCTTGGATCTCTTCTTCTGACATGATGTCGAAGACAAAATCCTCTTCCCCGGACCAGTATTCATCGTCGTCATCGTCATTCTCAACAGTCTCCCCATGATCTTCAACAGCTGGTGTTGCTACTGCCTCGACTCTGTGCTGCTTCAAACTCGGCGGCTCAAGAGTGGGACTCTTCTGTTTCTTGGCAGTCGCCGCCTGGGCTGCGGCGTCTGGACCATGGCCTAAAGCAGCAGCAAGGAAGGTGTGAGTACATATTCGATCCAGATTGAGGCAGCAGACGAGAAAAAGGCAGGGGAAAGAACTGACGCTTGTCGGACATGGCGGGTGGAAGTAGCACTGAGGTTGGGAAGGCGGGAACAGGTCTGGAAACAGACGGAGATGAAGGAAGAGACGAAACTGGAGTCTTCTTCGCTTGCGGTGCTGTTGCGATTTGAACTGAGTTAGGGCTGGAAGGTGGAAGGAACTGAAATGCTTTAAAGACAAAAGTGGCAGGAAGGGAACGGGAATCTGGCCAGATGGAACAAAAGCCAGTTTTCCAAGTTTTTATCGCTGGAGGTGCACTGCACTGCAATCCACTGCACTCAGCTGTGGTGAAGCTTGGTCCAGGGCACATCATACAGATCAGTGCATGCCATTCACCTGTGCCAACTTCCTTTACTCTGCTTCCTACCGGCATCTCACTGTTTCAAGATATATTCCACCTGGCATCAAAACACGACCCCCATTTCTTGAACGATTTGACCCAGATTGATACAATTGAAACCAGGTATCTTCGTTACATTTGAGCGGAGGGGTAGCTTGTGGCCGGAAGCATCCAACCCCGCGTGACATGCTTCCTTCCTTCCTTCCTTCCTTCTTTCCTTGCCGGCGTGTCGACTCACACTGCAACCTAACCGGAGGAACAGCGCCTGCCCTAACTGAAGCTTTGGACCTTTTCCAAACGAAATCGGAACTCTGGTCACTCCGGTTCCTCTTCCATCCTCCAAAAAACACCCCGAATGAAACTTGTCAACCACGAAGCAGCGCACGAACCTCAAAGACTACACGCAGTTCACCATCATGATTTCGATGCTACAAAGTGCGAGAAACAGGTTCTTATTCTCGATATTCTGTCCGCCGGGATGCGATACACACAGTCCAGCTAACCTCGCTTTTCATGATCCAGTTTTCCCCTTTTCGCTGGCAACCTGCTCAGCTCGCCCTTACCGAGTCCACGGCGACCTCATACTTCTCCTTGCCTGTGTTATACCCGATTTCCGTAACCAGCCTGTCCTCTAAGATTGAAAGACAAAGTCGCCTATCGTGGTTTCAGCGAGTTGCGAATAGATGATTGACCCGGCCACGGTCGAGGTCGCTCCACAGATCAATGCTCCGCCCATAACATAGGGATTCTTCCCGACTTGGACCGTTGCCAAGCCCGACAAAAAGTCATGCCCCTTGGTCAGACACGTATTGCCAATCTTCAAAAAGGGATCAGCCTTGCTATAGCCGGCCACATGATCCCAAGTCACACATCCGACATAGATGACGCATTGTAGGGCGGAGAAGAACATGGTCACCATGCCCTTGAAGATGCGAAGGCTGCAATGCTTGATGCCAGCAAAGATGGACACCACCCAGCCAGTCAGTTTGAGGCCCCAGCTGGGCGCCGGATCATCGGGATCTGGGATTGGGAAAGACAACGCAATTCCCACCAGAAACATTGTTGCGCCACCCTTGTCCCATTCTTTCAGGGCACCAAAATCCGGGTAGGCACTTTTCATGGGCATCACCCACTCCCGCGCCTCGCTGTACATGGAGTAGCAGTTGTACCCAAACCAGATGATACCGACAATGTAAGAATGCGCCTTCAACCACTTCGCAATCTTCTGGAGGAGACTATGCTTCATCATGTTCTTGACGAAGCCGCCTTGGTCCTTTTTAAGCTTTTCTGCGGCTCCCATTGAGGCGACATCATTATAGCTCGTGTCGGAAGCGGTGGGCATAACCGCGAATAGCTGAGGAGCGGCCATGAGCTCATGTCCAACGAGCTCGGCATCCAGCTCGGTTTTGGCAGCCTGGATCTCCTTGTAGCTTGGATGCTGCTTGGGGCTCATACCGTGGTATAGCTTGAATGCAATCGTGCCAGGGATGGCTAACAACATGGTGATGGCATCAAGGAAGGACAGAGGTCGGTCGGATATCTTCGACCACAACCAGGAAATGACGGGGATCTCGATGGTCGCTGTGGCGGCACTCTTCACCATGAGGATGAGCTTGGCTCCCACCCGAGTGAAAAGCGTGATCAAATCGCGCGCAATCGCAATGAGCCTCGTGAGGAGCTTACTGCCGAGCTTCGAAAAGATCTCGGAAGCAGTGGCTTTGCGAGACGGGTCGAGGAGTGAGACTAGAGCCGACCCAATGTCCCCCGCGCCCTCCGCAAACTCCTTCACGATATCTTTGAGAGCTGCCATGATCTTGGTCAGGTCGTCATCTTCCATCTCCTTTTCTGCAGACTCCATGGCTTGACGGACTTCAGGATTGTGCTGGGCATGGTGGTTCGCATAGTTCCCCCCTGGTGAGTGGAAAGCTTTATCCATCTTGCTCGGCTCCTTCCCTTGCTGGCCATTGCCGTCTGGATCGACAGGACCGTCGACTTTGGATGGCAGCTGGGTTGTGTTGCAATTCTTGTCAAGACTCTCCTCTAGCTCATCAAGATACGACACCGCCTTGTCACCAAAGAGAATGATCGCCTTGGCAGCAGTATCGATGAACCCTTCAAAATAGTCGCGGAAGATGTTATGGGTTTCCTTGATGTCGTCCCAGGCGAAGAGAAACTTCAATCCGTTCCATATCTTCTTCAGACCCTCGCCAAGCCACTCAAGGGCCTTCCTTAGGCCTTTCATCACATGTTCGTATGTTTCGACAAGGAATTTCCAAACCTTCTTTCCAACCTTGACAACAAGATGCCAACCGTCTACGAAGATGTCCCTTACAGACTCGAGAGATCGGGTGAGCCAGTCAAACACTGCCCAACTGCCCGTAGTGGGCTTCTCCCCGCTGATATAGGACATCTCTTTGACTATGGGTTGCTCTGAGGGCTGCTCCAAAGAGACAGGTTGGGTTTTCTCGGTACCTAAAAACTGCGCTTCCAATTTCATGCTGGCACCCTTTGAAGACAATGACTTGATGGCCGCGGCAGCTCCCTCAATGTTGACGTTCTTCGATCCTCCGCTCAAGAGCTTTTCACCATTTGGAAGGTGAGCATTCTGCAAGTCATCGCCGGACTTGATCTTGCTGAAGAAGTCCAGAACCTTTCGAGAGGGATCTATGTAGGTCGTTTCGCATCCTGGAACGCCCGAAACTCGCAAGCTCGGCACATTCAGGTCATCAATCTCTTGAATCACCGTGAGGGTTCCCATCACATCGGCCTTGACTTTGACTGGCAGTCGGCTAAGCTCCATTGTCCGGCCGTTCACAGTTGCGAGACATGTACTGGATGCACTGAGGTCAACTTCCAACCCATCAGCTGGAGGTCGGACCCCAGCACCAGGATAGATCTTGATGTGTGTCGTGTAGGTGTACACTTCTCGATGTGTCTTGATCGCTGGGACGCAAAAGTCTCCCGTTTTCCAAAGACTGGAGTCTCCCGACTGGTACAGAACCCGCATTTTTGGATGGTTTTCGTCGCCGAGAACGAACATTTGCTGGGACTGAGTGGTTTCGTTGACCAAGGCAGCGAAGCGTACGCCTCCGTCAAGAACCTGATTGGCATCGCTGTGTTTCTCGAAGGCGTCAACCGCGAGGTTTTCTGAAGAAGCCTTAATCATGAACTGAGTGTACGCTATCACGCCTTCGTTGTTGCGAGTGAAGACGGATACGAACGAGCCAGACTGTGCGGCTTGAATTTGTTTCAGTCCTCGGAGGCAATCTGCTGAGGCAACCAGACTGGTGTCAGGCAACTTTGTTGAACCTTTCACAGAGTCTCTGGCTGGAATACGGTGAATTCCATTTTCTGCGGAAACGAGAAGATCGGTCCGGCCCGTCGATGTCCTGACGGTGGCAAGATCAGAGGCACCTGGGGGAACTGGCAGGTGGTAGTTGATATGGGAGTAGTAACCTCCTTGACCGCTCAATCCGGTGAAGCTGAGTCGAAGAACCTCGCTGATCCTAAACAGGACAAAGACTCCAAACGTCCCGCCACCCCCAGGCAGTGTACCAGGGCAGAGGCTGATGATCTCTCTCGGGTTGCAAGGCATCTGAAGATCAGTCTTTACAGACCAGGAAGAAGCCTTGTAGTCGATGTCAAGGCGGCATATATCGTTCTCGGGAGAATCAACTTTTCTGAACCTTGCTACCGCAAGGGGATGGTCGTTATCTGAGCCTCGGCCCTTTTCTTCTGTTATTACTGGACGAAGAAGTCAAGCTTAACGACATGGAGGCACTCACAATCAAAAGACCATATATCTGGCCTTGGATGGTGTTGTCCTGTCCATGGAAAGCGTGTTCCAGGAGCTTGTCGATGTCTTTTTGAAAAGCATCGGGCTTCAGTCTGCGCAAGACGACCAACTGAGACTGGCCCTTTGGCTCTCCGTGAGCAAACACGAGGTTCAAAGTCAGGTCGGTGTCCTGATGTAGTCCGAGTGCTGTGGTCTGATGCTCCGTCGGGATGCTCAGCTTTTCGCTGAGGTTGATCAGCTGGTTTCGGCCCCATTCGTCCTGTTTGATGAGATACAGCACACCCTTAGTGCCAATGGAAAACACCATGGGGTTCTGCTTTTCATCCTTGACGACGTAGAAGTCCTGCGTGTCCAGAAGTGGCGTGGATGTCACCACTTGCTCAATGAGCTCTGAATCATGATAGATGGACATTGTCGACGGCGTGTTAGGACACCAAAGTTCCCAGAACGAGAAAGACAGAACGATAGAGGATACAATGGGAAAAGATGTTGTCGAATGGAGGTATTAGAGAGAGGCAAGTTGACTGAATATTCACCAACTCTTCGGCAAATACTTTGTACGGCGGAGGGTGACTATATGAGCTAACTGCGGTCTTGGGCTCTCACAATTACGCATCTGCGCACGAAACCTCTGCAAGATGGATGAATTGCCTCGACTTGTGATGAAACGGTCCGACGATCGTCAAACGAAGAGCAGCAAAGACAAAGGTACCCATGCTGGAGACTGCAGTGTCAGCGGCGGGGTTTCGTTCAGCTGGATGTTCAGCTTTGGCATCATCGCTTATCCAGAGATGCGTTGGCATAGCCTCGAGCCAAACAACGTGAGTAAGTATCTCTCGAGTCATGTTGGGCTGAACTGCATCTGTGTCTAGACAGAGTATGGATTGTCTCCAAATGACGAAACAGCTATTTCGCTCAAGATATAGTGTAGTGTAACGCCTTCATCCAAACTCCGAGATCGTGCATACGTAGATCGGGCAGTGGAGTCCATTCCCGCACTTGCAAGTCACATGAGGGCCGGGAGGGCCAAATCAAGCCGGACATACAGCTGAAGATACCCACCACGATACGACCCAATATCGAGCCAGCGGCCTCCAGAGTTTAGCACGTCGATTAAGGCATTCCATTACTCGGTGGGTCGGCAGGGGCTGAAAGAGATTCGACGGCTCGGTGGAGACGGACAGAGCACTAGGACGTGGCACAGTGCACACACTAAGTCATCTGAGAGCAATGATCGACGATCTGGAGGTCCAGTTTGCTCGATCTCAGACTGCATGTCAATGAGGTGGGTCGGTCCCAATTGGCACTTCAGCTGCATCCGATAATATTGATCTAGCCATCTTCGACACTTCAGCTCAGATGAGAACATGCACCGATGCCTAAGTTTTGGCGATCCTCCCTGTGATGTCGCCAATATCCGCTCAGCTACCTCAATTGTGGAGAGGGATACGTACTCAGTCTTGACCCTCACCATTCTGGTGATGCTGAGGGGCAGATGCTGACAGGTAAGCACACCGGATCACTTCAGAAAATACCAGCTCCAGCTCAGCACAAATATTGATGGCAATCCCGCAATCATCAGATGCCTCTTCAAAGACACAGCTTTGCAGCAGACTTGGACTTGACCTCCGAACCGGATACTTCACAGTTAACTCCTCGTCGCTACAACTTGTAGACTCCATTCACGCAGACATCAACCTCAAACGCTTGAACACGATGGCGACAACTGAAGTTGACTCACGCCTGAAAGATTTCGATCTTCAAGGTTTCCATCAAATCATTGCTATCTCCCAAGATGTAAGTACCCCGGCTTGCAGACCCATCATCACACAAAGGTCCTGACCAGTTTATCAGAAAATCAACGACAATCTCAGAGTCCGGTTTGATCCTGAGCTCCAACCCGAACTTGTCTCTTTCAAGCATGAGCTTCCTCAAATGGGAGTTTCGGAGGCAACGCTCGACCCCCCGAACATCGAGGTGTGCACCGAAAGCGATACGGAAACCAAACGTTCGAGGTTCTTCCTAAACTTCAAGACCGGCAGTTACAAGTACAAGGCGACCGTTGAGGCAGGAGGCGTTGAAACGGTTGCCATCGACGGCTGGAAAGTTCCGTTCTTCGTCGCGTATGACGAGAAGACGCTGGCCAAGCCCCCCGACAGCAGCCATCCGAACTTGAAGTCGAAATGGGCCAAGTTGGAACCCGGCAAGTACAGCCTGAGTCGCATCATCATGTTTCTCGGCTCGGCACCTCTCTCTTCCCTCGACTGGGACCACGCCTATTGTCCTGGTCTCAGCCAAGAGAATGACCCATATGGCATGAAGAAGGTGTTCTTCAGAATGTTCCTTGAAGCATACTTGTCCAGTCTACAAAAGAACCCAGACGCTCTCACCCTTGGATACACGATCAAAGAGGCGGCACCTGACCCCACGGACAAGGCGCCCACGTTCTCTCCAACCGCTGTGAAAATTCAAAACTACAAATATCAGCCTTGTTCCGACACGCAGCAAACCATCAATGGGAAGGTTATCCCTCCGAATTCCCGTGACGCCTTTGTGTTCATGGAGATGACCGGAGGTGCTGACATCCCGCATGATGAGCTGCAGAGAAAGGGCAATCTCATCATTGGCGACATGCCGGGTGCACTTGTTTTCAGCAAAGAACTCTTTTTCAACAAGTACCTGGTAGAGAATGCTCTCAGCAGCGTCAATGTCTCCTTCTTCGACATGGCGAATGATTTGATGAAGTGGGTGGATGGAGGACGCTGGGAGTCGGATTGGTTGCTCACCAATGGGTCAAGAGCCGAAGCTCTTCCGGCTGCGAAGTGGACAATCGACGGGTCCAAGGCCAAGCTGAGCTGGAAGGGGGAGAAGTCGTACAATGGGTGGGGTGTCTACCGTTCTACTGACACTTCGCTCGAGACGGAGCTGTTTACTGAACCACGAGCAAACAAGATCACCATCACATCAAAGATGAAGCTCGGTTCCAGTACAGTCATATCCTCTGGGCACACGGGCGGTGGCGGGTACAACAGAGGAACGGACGGGAAAGTGAACCTCACGATTGAGTTCACCATCTTGGCGGACGAGGACGGCACGCTTCACGTAGAGCCGAAAGAGACGATTGAACCCGTCAGTGTGGATGACAGCAGAGACGCCAATATCCTCAAGCTTATCTTTGGCAAGCAAAGCCATGAGGTCAGTGACTTCATCAAGGGCAAGCTACAGGACGTTGTCCGGACAAAGCACATTGGCGACGCGATTGCTGCGGATCTTAACGAGAAGAAGCAGCTCGTGTTTCCGGGCTCGGGGACGTTTAGCTACAAGGATCCCAAGTTCTCGGATGCTGGCGATCTTTTGATCACGCTGGACTTGGTTGGGAAGGAAATTGAGAAGGATAAGACGTTGGTTTCTTAGGGGGCTTGTCCTGGGCAAAGATTTTGAGACCCTTTAACATTGTACCTTGGGTATACCCACTCTACTACCTACGAATGCAAGTGACTTTATTACAGTCCAGTACTGGTTTGTTTGTTAGCTCGGTACACTAGGTACTGTACTATACTCTATACACTAGACGAAATCTATCCCTAATAGTCCTAAACCTTGTAAGAATGAATCAAAATGGTTAGTATAAATGACAAAAGGGATTGGTTCGATTTGATATGGCATTTCGAACATCACAAATAGCGTATTCAAGGTAAGATGACGCATTAATTAGCTACCTATAGAATCGCATAGGAAGGTTGACACGAGGTCTCGTACTCACAAAGAAACCAGTATTGGATTGTACACCTCTGAACTCGATTTCTAAGTACCTGATCTCTGCATAGAATTAGGTATCGAAAGGGGACTTCGTACTGCGTTTACTTTCCTTTGGAATCATCAACCGGTTCATCCTTCACTTGACAAACGCCCACCAGTTACTTCAGGTCCTTCCACTCAGGAGTCTTCTTGATGAACTCCTCCCAGGTAGTCAACTTGTCCTCAACCAGCGAATGTGTCCAGTCCAGGCTCTCGCCGCCGTAGTATCCAAAGGTACCCAGAAGCAAAAAGTTCTCCAGCAGCTCTTGCGCCACATAGTCCGGCATGCCAGCGCCCTTGAGATTGTCGAGGTAGACGTCTTCTGGAACCTGGTAGTACGAAGCCGTCGCCCCAGCCTTGGGAAACACCTTCTTGAAGCCTTCAACCACCTGGTCGCCCGTCAAGTACTCGGTTGCACCGAGAAGTCTCTTGCCGAGGGTTTCCTCGCGGTGGAGGACGGCAGCCTTGACGAACTTGCCTGTGTCTGCTGTGTCGAAGAGGGGGAAGAACGAGGAGCTCGCGGGGGTAGGCAGGGCAAATGTCCATTTGCCGGTGTCGTCGTCGTGGTGGGTCAAACCTAACGCCGGACCGGGGAAGTTGGACATGTAGAAACCTGGTAGGAAGAAGGTGGAGGGGAGACTGGTGGTGAGGCGGGCGTAATCTTCTACTTCGGCTTTGCTGTCGAAGTGGTGGAGGTTGGGCAGTTTGCCTTTGCTTACTGTTAGTTTTGTTGTTAGAGGGTTGGTAACATGTACTTGACCTTACGGTACAGTTTATACCTGATGCCTTGTAGACAAGAGGTAGAGATGAATGAGAAGCAGAAAGTGGTGGAGGTAGAGGCAAAAACAAACAAACAATGATTGAAATGAACAAACATTCGTAAATATTAAGAACAGAACTCCAAATAAAGTGCTGCACGCCCGCCTCGGCAGCTACATCCACGAGGTTCTTGCCCTGCTGGACCTCGACGTCCTTGTTCATCTTCTCCCAGTAGTTGGTCACGGCAAAGACGGCATAAGCGCCATCGACTGCTTTCCGGAGACTCGACTTGTCGTTCAAATCGGCGGCGACGACTTGGGCGCCCTGGTCGGCCAGCTGCTTTGCGCTTTCCTTGGTGACGTCGCGGGTGACGGCACGGACGGTCCAGTCGGCATTGAGCTTGGGGTCGTTGAGGAAGATGGCGGCGACGGAGCCGCCTTGTAGGCCGGTTGCGCCGAAGACGGTGATGGTTTTCTTGGTGGTCATCTTTGTGGTTGGTGGTTTGTTGATATGTTGAAGAAATGTTACTTGCTTGGGTTTGTCTGGAGGTGGGTTCTTGTTGAAATGTAAGTAAAGGGTAGGCACAGTCGTGGGGAAGATGATTGAATTGAAAAAAGGCATAAAGACAAGAAGGGAAGTGGGGCCTATTCTTAAATACCAGTTTGCACACAAGTGTTTGGGGCGATATGCAATGCTGTCCAAATCCGAGGAACTCGGATAACTAGATTCTTCGGGTGACTGCTCATCTCTTACTTGCAGGAAATTCCAACATACCACACCTCTAGATAGGTAAAGGGAGGTGATCTCAAACCCAAAACCTGCTGGACATTTATCCCACTTTCCGCTTAACCAGTCAAAATAGTGTAAGCAGCCACAGGTGGTGCTATAATGGGCGTGTGACGTACGCCGCGGCTTGTCTACCTAAGGAACGAATCGGCATTACTTCCCGCCCTATATACACCACACCGTTGACGATTTGGCATTCCCATTGGATGGAAAGCATACTTCTTTGATTGGTACGGTAACTGTTAGGTACACAACCACGCTTCAGCCATATACTCTTTTTACCCATTTTACGACTTATAGGACACACACCGGCTTCACATCCCACTATCGTTCTTGTATTACATGTATGCGGACATTTTGCCGACAAAACCCGACACTTGCAAAATCTCAAGTTGTTCCTGGTACAGCTGTCGTTACAGCAGATCCGTCTCGTTTGTAACCCACTAATCGAGTCAACCAATTCCCACCTACAACTACTTCGTCGGAAGGAGACGATCACGCCATTGTCCAATCCATCTCCATTCATCATACTACCTACCTAGGTACCTTGGTCAGCCGAACTTGACATTTCCAAAGAGCGCTTGAGGGCGGACAATTGTATTCCTCCAATAAGTCAATGTGCCAATGGACTGCTAGCACATCCGTGCCAATCATGTTACGTGATGCCCCTTTGGGTGCCATCACTCCGATCCAAAATACAACCATATTGCGGGGACCGCGATGTAACTCAGATCTGGTGATGTTCCATAGGGTCAAATTCACGTACCGAGATGTTTTGTAGAAGTACATAAACACAGAATGCCAACCTGATACGAGGAAGGATCTCAATCTCGACATTCAAAGCACGTCCAAGGCACTCACGGACTCATCTCGAGCATCTGTGGTCTTTCCCCCGATTCCACCACGGTGACCACGCCCGCCATGCTCTGGCCCTCAACACCCAAGATTCGGCCTCTCCTGGCCTTCCTCTCCTTCCTCATCCTCCTCCTCTCTCCATCCACCCTTGCCGTCACTCACAGCCCCCCAGTCTCCTACACAAACACCCTCATCCCCCAACGTGCCGACCCTCACATCTCCAAACACACCGACGGCTACTACTACTTCACTGCCACCGTCCCAGCCTACGACAGCATCATCATCCGCCGCTCTTCCACCATCCAAGGCCTCTCCTCCGCGCCCGAAACCACCATCTGGCGACGCAAGTCCTCGGGCATCGGCAGCAACCAAGTCTGGGCTCCCGAACTGCACTACATCGACGGAAAATGGTACATCTACGTCGCCCTCGGCGTAGCCAACGAATGGCGCATCCGCGCCTTCGTGCTCGAGGGCGTGGGCGCCAACCCGCAAACCGCAACATGGACCGAGAAAGGACTTATCAACACCGACTGGGACACCTTTTCTCTCGACGCGCATCACTTCCAAGTGAACGGAACGCGCTATCTAGTCTGGGCCCAACAAGAGCCCACTCGCACCGACGAAAACAGCTCCTTGTTACTCGCCAAACTGCTCAACCCCTGGACAATCCAACGACCAGCAACCGTCATCAGCCGACCGCTCCTCTCCTGGGAACGAGTAGGGTACAAAGTCAACGAAGGCCCTGCCACTCTGCAAAAAAACGGCAAGATCTTCTTGACGTACTCTGCCAGCGCGACGGATAGTAATTACTGCATGGGATTGCTTACTGCTTCTGTCGATGCGGACCATCTGGACCCAGCAAGCTGGAGCAAGTCCCCTGCCCCAGTCTTCCAATCTAACGGTCTGACTCAACAGTACGGACCGGGGCATAACTCGTTTACGGTGTCGGAAGATGGGCTTTCGGATGTACTGATCTTTCATGATCGCGGGTACCCCAATATCACAGGGGATCCGCTGAATGATCCCAACCGTCGCACGCGCGTGCAAAAGGTTTATTGGCGGGTGGATGGCACGCCGGATTTGGGGATTCCCGTCCCGGATGGCGTTACGCCCGTGCGGTTACGCTCTTCTTTTGCTTCTTCGCCTGAGGTGTATGTCAGGTATTATACGGGGACTTTGCCCTCTGGAGCTGCTACGCTGGCCGATACACTGTTTAGGGTTGTTAGCCCCGGATTAGCAGGAGGGAATACCGTTAGCTTGGAGTCTGCTAGTAGACCGGGGTTGTATCTGAGGAGGAGCGGGACGCAGGTCAGGTTTGATGCGGGGAGTAGTAGTTCTTCGGCAAGTTTCAAGAGCGAAGCGAGTTGGGTGAGGAAAGAAGGGTTGGCGGATGCGAAGAACGGGGTGTCGTTTGAGGCGGCGGGAGCGACGGGGCAGTATTTGCGGTTGACGGGGAGTGAGGGGGTGTTGGTGGTAGGGGCTATGGGTGGGGACTCTATACAAAAGGGACAAGCGACTTTTCATTTGGAGTGATCAATAGAGGAGAAGAGGTAATGATTTAGACGATCGAAGGGGTGGTAGAGACGGAAGCGATGGAAGGTGGACAACCCAGGGGAAGCACAAGCCCTGAAGAGATAAAGGGCGTGTTCGTTCCGGCAGTAGTACAGTAACGGAAGCATTTTTTTAGTAGTAGAAGAGCTTTGGGTTAGGGTCAGAAGAGATTCCGTTACTGCACTACTGCCAGAACGAACACGGCCAAAGGGTTAGGGTTCGTGATTTACCCCTGAGCGTTTGTTTACTTCCATGCCAAGACAAAGCACCTCTGAAGCAGACGTTGTGCGAACAAGACGAAAAGAGAGAAAGGATCTTCTCATTGTGTGTCCTGCAATCTAACATTATCATTCAGCATCAGAGATTTTGTCATACCCCCTGTTGCCCATCCATCACCAGCATTGAAAGACAGCTCCTTCCAAAGAGAACTCGCACAAGTACGCCAAGAAAACGCAAAAACTTGCTCAAAACTCCTTCCCTGCAATTGTCATATTTCAGATTTCCAAGTCCAACGCCTGCCTACCCAAAGTACCTACCTGTCACTTCTCTGTGTGGTGCGCAACACCCGATTCTTTTGTGCAGCTGCCTGTCAAACATCCGCATCTTCCCCTTGCCCCGTTCATCTTCCACTCCCCATCTCAACACTCACCTCCTATACCCCCCCTCATGCCCAAAATCCTCCTCAAATCTCCCTCCAGCCGGCGCACTCCCATACGCCCCCGACGCAGAATACGGCGGTAACCCCCCATTGCCTCCAAACCGCCCACTATCCCCCGTCCCATTCCCCGGACTAGGCAACGAAGGCGACACCCCTCCTCTAGAGGAAATAGCATCGTCCCCCTCGCCCGTCGGGTACGACGGTCCCAAATCACTTGGACTCCTCGCATGTCCACGTCCTCGATACCCCGTGCTGGCGGTACTCTTCGCCGGCGTCACCGGCATCTCCAGTGGCAATCCAGGATTGTACTTGCTCTTCCCCTCCGCATTGTTATTGTCCCCCGCTTCCGCACCGGGTAACTCCACCGGCACCGGCGGCGGCGGCGGCGCCAACGCCACGCCTCTATACCCATGTCCATGTGAGGAAGGAGGTAATTCCGTAGCGTGCTGCGAAGTATTATACGTCGGCGCCGCATCAGAGAACGTCGGGCTCGAAATGGCGGCACCACCTGGTCCGTCTGCCCATCCTGCTGAAGAACCAGGCGGGTGTTGATGCACCATTGGACTAGTGGGATTACTTCCCGTGACGGTGCCGGGTGCACCGCCGACGCGAGGCTGTTTGTAGTGCTTCTGCCGACGACGGATGCAGAAGAAGCAGAGAGATGCGAGGGCCACGATGCCGCCTATTGAGGCGCCGACGGCAATACCTGCAATAGCCCCCGTGCTGAGTCCCTTTGATGTGCCAGGGGATGGATCACTGGTGGGCGTGACGTCGCGGGTGGCTGTTCGTTCGGCAATGCGCGGTTTGCGCGTCATGAGGGTGGACATGTCCGGGGCGTCGAAGCCGGTTCGGGGCGGGGCGGTGATGGTGGCGCCGCCGGTGGGGTTGCCGCCTACGACGGTGAGGATGTCGGTGGGCAGCGTATAAGTGGTCAGGTTGGGCTGGAAGCGGGCCCAGATGGCTTTTTCGGGGTTGTCCTTGCCGAGAACCATGTTGTGTTGACCCATGACGGCGTCGGCGTCGCAAATGGTGGTGTCGTTGAGGGCGCGGCCGCCGATGACGAGCATTTGCGCGTTGTTGATTATGTTGCAGGAGCTCATGGCTTTGGGGAATTCGCCGGTTACGTTGGAGTTGGAGGGGTAGAGGCTGCGGATCCATTGGAAGGAGGGGATGGAGAGGACGTAGATGTCGTCGTAGCCGATGGGGTTGGACCCGAAGGAGGCGCCGCCGTAGATGTAGCTGTTGTTGTTAGGTACCTAATTGGTGCTTCGAGACAGGGGATGAAAGACGTACATGTTATAGGAAGACTGATCCTGAGCCACAGCCGCTCCTCCACAGAACAACCTCCTATCCTCCGGAGCTCTACCTGATGTCTTCTGCGTATACCATCGGGTGTTTGCCAGATCATACATGAAGATGGTATCCAGCGGCTGCGGCGACACCGTGCCGTTGCCATTGTCTCGAACACCGCCAAAGTAGGCCAACATCCCTCCATCACTAATGGGGAGATATATCATGGTCCCTTCGGCTCTTCTGACGTTATCCGGCCCGGTGAGATTGCTGAACTCGCGCCTGTCCATGTCGTACTTGATCAGTCTGTCGGATGCCCGTCTAGTGCCTGACCAGCCGGGGACGGAGTTCTCGCTGAACCATCCTCCGTAGTAGAAAGCTTCGCCGCGTTCCGATATGGAGACTCCTGCCCCGTGACTTAAAGGGGTGATGATGCCACTGCTGGAGGGTGGTCC